ATCAAGGTGCAGCAGTTGTTCAATTCATTCTCCACTCATGCATGTTGGCTGGATTAACTGAAAATTGTCAACCCATTTTCAGGTCAGTGCTTTCCAAATGAAATTATTTGGAAATTAATAATTTTATGATAGTTTTAGTTTAAAATTTCAAAATGCAAGCATTGAAATTTTGGTATATACTTTTATATGTTATTTACATATTTTTCTTTTTGTTTAGAATGATCAGTGTCAAGAATAAGACAGAAGCTAAAAAATTCATCATTGAAAAGCTTCATAAAAACTTACAAGATTTATCCAAAGCTTTGTCAAGAAATGTTGATGATTGTGTGCTAATTCTAATGAGGATTTTACTAAGAATCATCAATAAGGTATAGTTTGTAGCTTTTATACAAAGTTGAAATGCATTACTACATAACTTTTATATATATAAGCAATATACAAGCAATATCAAGTCAATAGTAGATAAAAATCTTAACCGTGGGCATATTCTACTATTTGTAAACTGTTATTGTATTATAGCTTCTGGTGAGAAAAGTTTAATAATCTCCAACCTACTATTATGCACGCTCATCTGATCAAGTTTCCCCATTTTCCAAAGCGACTATTTCTCAACGCCTGAAATGATTGTTATAGGATGGGGCATAGTTGACGTTTACATATTTTTATTTTATGTGACAAAACTTGGCAATGCAAAATATTAACTCGTTAATTAGGGTGCAGTTGCGTACCCTCAAAACTGGTCAACAATTGAAAGTCGTCGTGAATGGGAAAAAGTATTTCAAAATGAATATCTGTTGCCTGTGTTTCAAGATATTGATACACAGATACAAGATGCAAAACAATTAATGAAACAAGCTGAAGATGATGAAAGAGAACCACTGAACAGGTTGATTTTTGTAGTATCATAGCATTGTTTTCAGTTACATATCATATGTTATTATATAACCAGGTAATACCTTCTTTTGATTTGAGAGAATTTCCTCTCTGATGCAGCAGAAAAACATTCAAATTATTTGTCCATTATTCATAAATCTTCTTGTTTTATGTTATTTATACATATTGAAATAATAAAACTAGATATATATATATTATTTTTAGACTCTTGAATGATATTAACTCTGATGATGAAATTGAAAAACGCTTTGATTGGAAACATTGTTTCTTCTGGAATTATTTTAGTCAACCAACCCCTGAACACCTATTACAAGTTTTGTCTGACAAGACTGAAAAGGGTCATGGTATGTAAATGTAGTGACGTTATAAAACTTGTTTTAGGGTTTATTTTTTGCTTCAAGTTTAACTAAAATATTTTAAGTATACCACTAAGGGTAAGGGTATATTCTTTACTTATTTCCAAGTGTGTGCCTATTATAATATCTTTTCACTTGCTGAATGAGTCTAATATAAACTAGTAATCTTTTTCATGGTCATAATTCAATTTTATGTGACTGGATCTCAAATTTCCAAATGACCTGTAGTCGGATGAAAATAATTCATGATTTTGCATCCCTAAAAACACCTTAGGAGAAACCTTATTTATTAGTTGTTTAAAAAAAATTCAAAAATTTCCTAGATACACTAATGTTATAGTTAACTTGTGTTTTTCAGGTGAAGTTTTGAAATTGATTCTTCAAACACCAGATATTTATCTACTTATGCATTTGGAAGATATTCTGAAATTACAACATGTTATGATTGAGAGGTTTGTTAAATAGGCTATAATATGTGTGAGAATTAGGTAAAATATATGTCTCAATAATGTTCTTATATGAATTAGGTATAAATACAATATCGATATGCAAGAAGCAGACCAAAGAACCTTTGAGGATCATGTACATCAAGATGGATTTGATGATGAAGCCTCAATTGAAAAATATATTATTGCATGGAATTCTGTGAGTTGATTGACTTCTAACCAATAATGCTCTGGCTATAACCATATTTGTGCATCGGTGCAGAATCCATCAGAATAATTTGACATTTGCATCTTCATGACTTCGTACACGGATTCTCTGCGTTGACTGAAATTAAAAGCAGAAAAACAAGGCAACGAAGGAACCTCGTTTCATTCATTTCTTATTTGTCCCTTCAAAACAGGCACACCCATCACCTTAACATTTGCAGAATAAATTTGTTGTGAGCTAACTTTATTTTTTTACAAGTGAGCCACAAATTTTTTTTTTTATTCACATAGCGCTCCGCAAGCAAAAAAAAAGTTGAGAACCGCTGTACTGAAGGATTGAAAAATAATACTTTTGTAGTTGTAAAACGCATGTCAATATGGAAAAATCTAATCTATAACTTGCTAATTTACTAAAGAAACTTGCAAACTAGTACAGAGGGTGTTTACAATATAATTTTGAATTACCAATTTTTTTGTTCCATTCCAGATCTGCCCTCAATTACAGGATTTTGCTCCAAGCTTGTTGAAAAACTACTTTGTACCAATTACAAAACAGAGCTCTTTATCTGTCGCTCTTCCTAGTATGCGTGGTCGTGGACAATGTGCAAAATTACTTGCTGAATATTTAATTGAGATTCAGAATTCATTTCTTTCAAACTGTCACAGAGCTATGCGATTAGCTGAAAGGTAGAATGCATTACACTAGAAAACAGAGCTCTTTATCTGTCGCTCTTCCTAGTATGCGTGGTCGTGGACAATGTGCAAAATTACTTGCTGAATATTTAATTGAGATTCAGAATTCATTTCTTTCAAACTGTCACAGAGCTATGCGATTAGCTGAAAGGTAGAATGCATTACACACTAAATGGCATGCTGATTGATTTCTGATGGTCGTAATTTTGATTTCACTTTTGCTACATCAGTTTGATTAAAGTTTCAAAAAATAGTATGATAAATTTTAGCACAATCTCCGAACTAAGCTTTGTGCAAGCAATCGCTTAAGAGCTTTAAATCTTCTGTTTTATTGGGCTTTGATATTTTCTTCAGACGAACACTTTATTGTTGAACACATTACAATTGTCTCAGTCAACCCAGCTTCTTACTTTTTTTCTAATAAATTGTTTCAGAAATGAATATGCTGATGTTCTGCAACTTGTTTCAAATGATTTTATTTGCACCAAGAAACAAGATCTCTTACTTTTAATTAATGAGCATTCCAAATATGATATTTTGACGAATGAACAAGAAAAACAACATTTGATGTCTTACAATATTGATGCTTTAGAAAAACAGGTTTGATTTGCAGCATATTTTATACAGTCAATTAACCCAATGAGGCCTAATAAGGTTGATCACTGTGAATACTATATAATAAATATATAATTTTAATTGAAAATGCAATATTTTTAAAACAAGTATATTGCATGTAATAAGTTTATTTATACTCTTGTTTAGGTTCAAGAAGAATTCGTTCGCAGCAAGAAGCTAATTGATAAGAAGGTAGATGATTCGTGTAATTTTTATTAAAATGAATTATTCCCATATCAAAAACTAGAATTGCTGATGTAGAAACTCCATAAATGATCAAAAATAAAAAGAATCATATTCCCAGTTATAGTATGTATTGGATTTTTCGAATAATTAATTGCAGCGTTTAAATTAATTGCAGACATTACCTTGTATGAGCTATCCTCAGGATGTTGGAATTGGTGTTGATTGGGGTAGAGTTGTAGCAACTACAGATCAGGTGAGTCTCAATTCATACACACAAATTGATTCACTTAGTAGAGTAAAAACCTAAAACAAAGCTGATATAGCGGATCACTACTCTCTTCCTATATTGGCATTAGTTGATTTTTTTATTGGCTATTGAAGGTTTGTATTAATCTATGCGAAAATAAAAATAGAGATTGCACATATAGAAGAAAATTTATTTAACTGTATGGTTACCAATGCAAAACAATGATTTTAACACAAACATTGGGGAATGCATGTGGTTATCAATAAAATATATATTTGCAAGTATACTGCTAGTATTCAAGGTTTTCTCTCGATAATTAGGCCTTAGCTGTACATCATATTTTTGCTTTTTATTTGATGACATTTAAACCTGGTAAATATAAAAAAAAAAATTTTATTGTCATAGTGTAAAAAAATACATGTAGCAAGTTCTTGAAGAAGCAGGTACAAATATGACCTAACATATTATATATTAAGCATTAAAATAATTTTCATAACTATTTCCAGATACCATTGACAGCTAAGCTATCTCAAGATATTGACAGATTAGTTTCAAAATGCCATTCCTCTGAGATATGTGAAGTGGTTAGAACTTTAACAAACGCTATCACCTTTTTGTCTAAGGTAAGTTCTTATTTGATAAAATGATCAACATGCTCTCTGCTAGGCTTTTTCTTCAGCCTGCAACTTGGTGAATCATGAATCATCCAGTTTTAGTGTTGATGGTAATGCAATATACATTATGTATATTATGTCATGTGGTGTTGTTGTGACAACAATATTTTTGCAATTAATAATTTTAAATTATGAACCTTGATAATTTAGAAATCAATTCATGCTCACTGTAGGATAGCCCGAATTTAAAAGATCTTCCTCTATATCTAAAAATATATTTATAACCTGATAGGTACTTTTGTATGTATTACTGGCTGCTCTACGTAGAACATTATACAAATTGGAAAGCTTTGTAAAACCACTATCCCCGCTTAATGGCAATGTCCAAAGCTCCGTTTTTGTTGCTTCCAGTCGCAACCTTCCATGATTTTACTAATTGCTTCATTTGTCAACCATTTTATTGAAAATGCTTCTATGATAGGTTTCTATTTTAAACGATATATTTTTCTCAAATTAAAGGTGAAAATAAGATCTGAAAGACCGCTCTGTGATTTTCTTGAGAAAGATCTGAAAATGATGTCAGCCCAGACTTCTATGATACCAAGATCCACCAATACCATGCCATGTTCTTTCTTTGTATCAAAGGTTAACATGGCACAAATCGGTAATGTTCTCTTTATCGAGGGACTTGATCCATACAAGAACTTTGTTTACTGGTAAGAAGAATGATTATTTTCATTCCCCCTAATGCTCTGTATTTGTATTTCCAAAGTTCTCAGCAAGAAGTTTGGATAGATGATATCTTTATGTTTAACTCATATTTAAAGTAGACGTGTTTCAGTTTACCCATGTATGTATTCATAATGATTCAATGATTCAGTGATAGATCTTACTATTAGGTATTGCCAACCTATCAGATATGCTAAATGAGGAAGAATGTAAAAAAAACGGTATATCATGTAAATTAATAATATTCTGATTTGGTTTTGTGTATGCGTGATTTGCTCTATAAAAACATTAGTTTGGAAAATCCAAAATTATAATGTGCCATAAATTTTTGATGAACCCTTTATGACTGAATATTTTTTGCAGCACTCAATTTCGATTTTTAGAACATTCTTGGTCAATAGGTAATATATCTTCTATATCTAGTCAATCAAGAAGAGATTCCCGAATATATCAGAGAAAAAGTTGAAAGATACTTTTAAACAAATGGATGTTTGTCATGCTTTACAAAAGAATCAACGAAATGTTGATCAACTTTCAGAAAGTAATGCTGACTGGAGGTGAATAAATATGTTTTCAACATTACTTTGCAAATCAATACAAAATGTTGAAATCTATAGTTAATTGCAACTGTCTTAATTTTACGTTGATCATGGTGTTTACCTCTATAGTAGTTAGGGGCGAGACTTTTCTGTAAAAGTTTTTCACATCTTAATTAAAAATCTTAATTAAAAATATATGGATAGCAAACATAGCTTTTTTCTTTGCAGTCTATCAGTTTCTTTTCCAGTCATGGACTAGGAATAGTTCCATATCGACTTCATTTTGAAGCTTTCTCCAATGACATTTTAGTAATTCTTTAAAAAACATACATCCATCTAATGGTATTATATTATTTCAGCTTGGTTGAAGATTTGTTTCCAAATATCCAGTTTATTAATGGAATGAAGACGATAGTTGGTATTCGAAATTGCCAGAGGAATTATGCTGTAAACACATTTCTGATTTATTTTCATTGAGTGTGAAATTTTTGTTGAGAAATTGAACGAACATTGATGTTGGTATGTAGTGAAATTGATCTTTCAATATACAGTCTGATTATACAGTAATATATAATTTGGCATGTACTAGCCATGGAAGTGTGGTCCTATTGTGATTTATTTTGTGTTTCCTGATTGTAGAACCTGCAGTAGAAATCGTGTTAATGTTTATTTAGTTGTGCCTTAGATTCTGCCTTATATATTATCAGATGATAACATAACAGTATAATATTCATTTAATATTGTTTAGGTAACCATTTAGGTAATTGTCAGGCTGCTCATACAGAGCCTTGTTCGGTATGAAAACGCCTCATTAAAATTTCTAAAGATGAATATGTTGTGTTTTGCCTTGTGAATAACAAATAGAGCACTGAAAGAAAATCACTTTTCGATTATATTATACGGATGAAAAGATAATTTGGAACTGATGCCAATAAATAGACTATCACCATTTACATCTTCTATGAATTGACAATAAAGTAATCTGCATTCCTATTATACAAAATGATTGTGACCGAAGTTTATTTCTTCAAATTTGTATTTCTATTTTTTATAATATTACCGGAACTTCAAATGCAACCATGCTGAATTTCCAATAACATTAACTATGTATTCTTGATTTTAATATGGATTATTCAAATGTTGGTGATTTTTTTGTACATTTATGCAAGTTAAATCATTACCACTGTTTTTTCTGATGTTATTCATCATCTAATAGCCGATTTACTGTCAATTCGTATATTTAACCATCTATAAGTATAAGCAAAGAGAATCAGGCAGTTTGAATACCAATTTATTTTACCTTCAACCGCTTCCACTGAAAAAATCGTATTTGTTGAATTGATTTCAAGTTTTATCATTGATTTTTCAAAAATAATTTCTGTAAAGATTTCAGTCTGTTGTTCATTTTAGTTTTCTTTTGTGTAAACAATAAAAAAAATACTAGTAGTCATTGTAAGTTGCAGTGCGTTATATTTCTTCACGGAAAACACGCTGGAGGTGGAGCTGATAGGCGAAAAGGGTATAAAATAGGTAGAACTTACTACAGATAGTAATGTTGAAAATGACGAACAAACTCACAATATATATTTGATTTGCTCACCTCAGAGGGTTCTCAACCCATTTTTCTCTCTGGCAAAATTAGTAAATTTTAGGCCATCGCTTGAGCGTCTGATCAACGGTAAGGTTTCCCTCGGAATTGTTCGACTACAGATTTTTAGACTTAAAAACCGAAGCAAAATACTAAGTTTAGCTCTGGAAAATCAAATTCAGTGGCTTTGAATCTTTCAGAACCGCTCGAGGTCGCACAAAATTCAATCGTAGTGCATATGTGGTCAAATCAGATAAAATTTCTTCTCTTCGGTCGCGAAATCGATGAAATTGTCGACCACCAGTGCTGCCACTGGTGCCAAGTTTTTCTATAAATTGCGGAGAAACCGATTGGTTAGTTATTGATCCTGAATTTTCCATGATATTTATTAATTTGGTCATTGATGGCACAAATCCAATACTTTGGTATAAAATCAAACGTTTGCACCTTGCTGAATTTTCGGAAAACAAGTTATTTGAGATCTCTAAAATGGCAGGCCCCTCTGAACCCAGCCGTCTTCCCCGTGTATAATCCCATTTGATATACATTAATTGTTATCGACTTATTAACACATTTTGCTGATTAGTTCTGTATTCCATAAAATATCCCGTATCCTTTAACACAGCGGTTCCCAGACTTTTTGTTCGCGCGGCGCCAAATTATCAGAAGAAAAAAACCGACGGCGCACTTACACAAAAAAGATGCTACTTTTGAAAAAATCGCAATTTCGTGATTGACACTGCTTTTTTTCAAACTTGACTCGCTTTTTCCACACGTGTCCTGATTGAATCAAACTTGTCCTGACTGTCTCACACCTCTACTTTTCTTGATTAATTCACACTTGTCTTGCTATTTTCAAACTTGTCATGCTTTTGTCATAATTGTCCTGCTTTTCTCACACTTGTCATACTTTACCATATTTGTACGGCTTGTCCCACACTCTACCTGTTTGTCCCACACTTTTTCTGCTTTTTCCACACTTGTCCTGCTTACTTAACACCATTTCCGCCTTACTCACACTTATTTTAATTGTTATTGTAATTGTTAATTAACTCGCTTTTCCACACTTGTATTGCTTTTCGCACACTCTCTTTTGTCCCATACTTTTTTCAGCATACTTTTTTCTTGCTTTTACTACACTCGTATTGCGTGTCCGAATTTATCCTGCTTATCTAATACATGTCGTTGTCATGCTTTCCCCCCACGTTTCATGCTTGTCCCGCACTTTTCCAGCTTGCTTCACACTTGTTCTGCTTTATTCACACTGGTTCTAATTGAATCAAATTTGTCTTACTTGTCTCACACTTGCTCTACTTGCTTCGGATTTGACTTGCTTTTACTACACCTGTACCACTTGTCTCACACTCATCATAGTAGTTCTAAATTTTTTTACTTGTTTCACACATGTTTTGAACCGACACTTGTCCGGCCTGTTTCAAACTTTTCCCAATTGTTCTTCGCTTGATCTGTTTGTCTCACAAATGTCCTGCTTGTTCAACATTTTCCATGCTTTTTCCACACTTATGAAATTAAACTTGTCTCACATTTTCTTTGCTTGCACCACATTTTTCTTTCATTAAACGGACTTTCATTGCTTGTATTGTATATTTCAAACATTTCCTGCTTGTATCACTATCACACTTCACACTTGTTCTGTTTATCCGTCACTTCGCCTGCTTTTCTCACGCTTGCCTTGTTTTGCTTGTCTCACACTTTCTCTGCTTGCCCTCACATCACTTGATTTCATCACACTTACATTGCTTGTCCCAAACACCTTTTTGTCCCATACTTTTCTTGCTTGTCCCACACTTGCTCTTTTTTCCTAACACTTGTTCTGCTCGTCTCAAATTTGTCCTATTGGTCTTTTAGTCTTCCTGATTGAATCAAACTTCACTCGCTTGTCTTGCGCATTATCTGCTTGTCCCTTATCATTTTTGCTTTTAGCACATTTGCGTTATTGGTACCAGCATTTAATTTAAGCCCCAGGCAGCGTTTATTTTAACATATACTGCTCTTATCACACTTGTTCTGCTTGTAGCACACTTGTGCCGCTTTCCTAACACGCGTCAAGATTAAATCAAACTTGTATTACTTGTCTGACAGTTTGCCTCTAATTGAATTGCTTCAACCACACTTGTATTGCTCCTCCCACACCTATCCTGATTATTTCACACTTGTCTTGCCTTTTCTCACAATTGTTTTGCTTGTTCCACAATTGTGCTGCTTTTCTCACAATTTTACTGTTTTGCTTTGGAATCTTGTATTATTGGACACGTAGTGGACATAACGATCGTTTCAATATTATGTTGTTGTTGTTGTTGTTGTTGTTGTTGTTGTTCTTGTTCTTGTTCTTGTTCTTGTTCTTGTTCTTTGACACGTTTTTAAAAAGTCGCTTTTCTCTTTGATTACTGGACTAATTGCTTTGAAATTTTCAGTGGTTGAAGATGAAATTTTTCTCCAGAAGGCTATTACTTTTATTTATTTCAAATATTTCTGTTAGCTCTGTAAGATTTGTTTTTGTTTGCTATGACGTCACTAAACGTTCTGCGGATATCGGACGCCATTTTGTGTCCAACGGACCATCTTGCAATTTCAATTCACGCTGTCACAAGACAGGACCTTCTAAAGATAGAGAAGTTCTGGTACCGTAACACAGCGCGGTGACACTGAACTAACTCGTAGCTGTCAAAAGCTTGAAAATCCATACAAATATGAGAAATAAAAAGATGAAACTTGGCAGGTGGGTAGAGTTGTGTTTCTTTTAACCATATTTGAAAGTTTCGCGTTTCTACATTTGAAGGAGGGGGAATAGGGGGTGTGCATTTCTGATACGTCGATAATATCTTTGTCAACCAATTTGCGGCCACCATGTTTTCGTCTGTTTGATTGCTGTGATGTGGTGCTTTGTTTATAATTTAACGAGTTTTGTTCGAAATAACCGTGTTCTTGAAATATATGACGGTCAGAAATGCAATTAGAATCCCAATGTTTTCACGCTGTCACAAGACCAACAATTGTCAACCAATTTGCGACCACCGTGTTTTGTCTGTTTGATTGCTGTATGGCTGCGTATGCGATAGTCTCGACGCAGCATAAACGATGATCAAGGCTTGAAATCCGTGGTCGCACACTGGTCGTTCGGTCGCAAATACGTCTTTCGAGTGCCGTACTTTGGGGATTTGTATAGCTTTAACCCTTTGTCGTAGAAAGTTAATACGAGGTTTAGCGTGCAGAATAAATGCCGCCAATGCACCCACGGTGAAAAAATTAACGGGTTAGATATATTGGTTTTTGTTTTATAGCGGTTTGAATGAAATTGTCCGCAGACTGGCTACACCACCCTAGGCCTGGTGAGTTGTCCGTGTAGTCGAATTGTCCATCAGCCCTAAACGGCTATGACAGTCACTGTACCAAAAATTGTACCCCGATTTGGC